ATCACAATGATCAACATATAAGAGCCCTCCCCAGTGGGGATGGACAAGAGAAAAGTGGGTGAAGGGAGATAGCAGTCAGTGTAAGACATGAAAAAAATAACACTTTATAAATTATCAAGGGTTCCTGAGAGAGGGAGGGTGAGGGATGGAGGAAAAATAATGAGAATCTGATACCAAGGCTTCAAGTAGAAAGAAAATGTTTTGAAAATAATGATGGCAACATTTATACAAATGTGCTTGACATAATGGATATATGGATGGATTGTGATACGAGCTATAACACGTATAGGAAACTACAATATCTCAACAACAAAATCACAAGCAATCCAATCAATAATGGGTAGAGAATATGACAGACACTTCATCGAACTAGGAAGACATTGAAGTACCTTACAAACACATGAGGAAATATTAGAAAGACACAAATCAAACCAATAATGAGATCTCATCTCACCCCAGCATGGACAGTAAAGTTAAAACAAACAAACAAGCAATGGCAATGCTGATGAGGATGTGGAGAGACTGGGACCCTCATCCACCCCTGTGGTGGGGCTGGGTTGTAAAATGAAGCAATTGCTATGGAAAATGTCATGGGGCTTCTTTTAAAAGTTGTAAATGGAATACCATATGACCCAGAAATCTCACTACTTGTATGTTGCTGTTGCTAGTATCCGATATATATATCCTAGAAAAAGAAGAGCTGTGACATGAACAGATATATGCACACCTATGTTGATCACTGCATTATTTACAACAGTAAAAAGATGGGAACAACGTAGGTGCCATCAACTTAAGATCAGTGACATGATGGATAATCGCACTGGTACATATGTGCAACGGAATACTGTGCAACATGAAGGGGTGGATGGACGAATGCATCTGGGAAACACCTCATAACATGGACAAACTGAGAGAGCATTCTGCCCAGCAAAACTAGTCAATCAGAAAAGGACAACCTTTGGATGAGACCAATTCTATAAAAAGTCAAGGGAAGGAAGGGTAAATCACGAACTACAGAGTAGACTCATATCCCTGGGGGAGGGGAAAGGCGATGTACAATCAGAGAGAGGTCAGAACACACCAATCCAGGCTGAGAAAGGCATTAGGAGGAAGCACAGAAGTGATAGGCAACAAATGTGAATACTATTGCATACATAATCCCGCAAAACCAATAACTATGATCTATGAGATAATACATTGACACGCAAGCTCATCAGGCATGGGGAAGTAATGAGACTTTACTCACAAGTCTATAGAGAGATTTGGCCAAGGATATTACTAGAATAATTGGGAGATGTTTATAAGAATAATTGTGAGGATGGCACAGAACTGGGTGGTGTTTCGTTCGTTTGTGCATCGGGTCACGATTTGTCAGAGGCTACTCAACAGCACACAACAACCACAACAACTCCAGCACGTCTACATCTGTCTTTATATGTTCTGTAAATAGATCCACGAGTATTGTGGGACCCAGGGATGAAGCTATGAAACCTTATTGTTGTTAGGGACCAAGGAGTCCGCTGCAACCCACGTACACAGAAGGAAACCCTGCTTGGTCCGGCGCCATCCTCGCAGTTGTCCCTAAGCTGGAGCCCACTGCTGAAGCCATGGTGTCAATTGCTCTTTGGCACGGATCCTCTGCTTTTCCAAGCGTGAGGTCCTTTTCCAGGGGCTGGTCTCTCCCAGTGATTTGTCCACAGTGCGTGAGATGAAGTCTCACCGTCCTTGCTTCGAAGGAGCACCCTGGGCTGTGCTTCCTCCAAGACAGAGTTGTTTGTTCTTATGACAGTCCACGGTGCTCTCAGCGTTCAATATTTACATCCTCAGACATCCTGGAGAACGGTTCTGCTCTGTCCTAGAGGGTCCCTCTGAGTCAGAATTAACTTGATGATGGTTGATTGGTTGTCTCTTGTTCCAGTTGTAAGAATTTTTGTTTTCTTTACATTGCGTTGTAATCACTATTGAAGACTGTATTCTTTGATCTTTATCAGTCAGTGCTACAAGCCCGATTTTAGCGAGCCAGGTTGAAAACCTTTGGTTAGAACTAAAAACCTTAAAGAAATGAGTGGCTAAGTCTGCAGACTCAGAACTGTAGTTTGGGTGGGGATACTCAGGTCAGTTGGCATAACATAATTCACAACTCAACGCTTTATATCTTACTTTAGTGAGTAGCAACTGGGACTTAAAAGCTGCGAATAGACGTCTAAAGTGCAATGATCAGTCTCCTGAGAGTGAAGAAAATAAAATATCCAAGGAGACAGTTGTTCCAAAGGATCATTTGAACTGCAGGCCCCATGACCTTGAGACAAGAAGAACTAGATGTTGCCTGGCCACCAGTGCTGAGCACTCTTGAAGGGATCATAAGAGGAGTTCCTAGATAGAGCAGGAGAAAATTATGAAACAAACTAAAAATCATAAAACATTTAGGTGTACTGGTCTGAAACAGACTGGTGGAAACCCTGAGGTTATGGTCTACAGGTAACCTTTACCCCTGCAGCTGAGCTCACCAGATGGCTTAGCTTCGGGTCAAAATAAAGACCGGCCTGTAAGATGAACAATAATAATAGGGAGGCATGCACTTCTTAGATCAAGCCACCATGCCCGATCAAAAGGCAGCATTTGTCCAGGGATAAAGCTCAGCAGGCAGAAGGGGGTAGGGAAAGAGGATGGAGGGAAATGGAAACACAGAGGAAGCGAGAAGAACGCTGTTACATGGTGGGGATGTGATCTGTGCCGGAAGGCAAAGTGCGCATGCGCTGCGGCAGGGGCGGGCACCGATCTGCCCCGTGAACTTTCACTCCAATCACAATAAAAAGGAAGAAGACAGAGAAGAAGAAAGCAAGCAAGTAGAATAAGGGTTTCGGGGGTTATAGTGGTGGTGTTGGGGCAGGAGGCTATAAAAGGGAGACAAGGTCAAGGACTCCAGGAAGGAAAACAGTGTTTGGAAGCCGATTGTGGTAGCAATTGTACAATATAGCTTGATGTGATTGAACTATGGAAGGATATGATATATGTATTAACTCCCAATTAAACAAAATTAACAAAGAAAGTAAGTATAGATTTGTTTGAAGGAAACTAAAAAGCATAATTAAGATGATAATTTCTTAGATATTTTCTGATGGTCTTTTGAAGGCCAGAGGCAAATAATATATTTATATTTATATACATAGAAGAATGTTTTAACCCATCCGAGCCAAGAGGAAAAGCAGGTGTTTGGTGGGAAGCCTTGGTTGTATTTTGGGGACCTGGGCTCCTTGTCTTTAGAGCTTAACCACTAACTAAGCATTTATTTGGGGAAAGTCTGCGGTGGGTCCAGCAGGTTCACACTGGTTCGGCAGAACACACACATAACTTTCAGTTGAATTCGACAAACTGGATGATAACATGCGCTTGTAATCAGGGTTCTCTCTGTCCAATGTGAAAATCACAAATTTACATTCTTTACTCTTTTGTAACATCCAGCTGCACAACAGCGTATTCTAAGCACCCAGAGTAAGGTTCACTCTGTGTAGAGGTATAACAAATTAAATGGAACTGTTTTTCTACTATTTGCTTATTGATTTCATAAAACTCATTATACTTTTTGATGGAACACTACATTCTTATTCCTTTGTTTGTTACTTCAGTAAACACACATATAACTTAAAGAGAAAACGTGTCAAACAACCAGAGCGTGACATACTGTTGTTCATTTCAGCTTTGTGTTAACGCCCCAAATTCCCATGAGATATTAGGAGTGAATTATGCAATTTCTGAAAGTGTCCAATGATCTAAAAATATTGTCAGAACAAGTTCTGCACTTTCAGCAGAAGCAGAAGGGTTTTTTCAAAGATGAATTTAATATGTTCAGAGAAGAGAAGTCATCTGTTTCTAATATCAAACACAATGACTACTGTCTAATTGGCCTATCTCCAAAGGAATGGGATGCTAGTCCTACAGTGAAAAGATGGTTAAGGATACACAGCCGGTGATGTTCAGATAAAAGCAAAGAATTTTGCAAGTGAAGAAGTCAAAGAATAATGAATATGGAAATATCTGAATTAACAGTTTGATAGCTTTTTGGGGTCGGGTATAATTGAATATTTTTCATGAATATTAAAAAATTCTTTCGTATAAGATAATCTAGTTTTGTGTATCTAATTTATTGTTCTTATTTAAGTATTAACTATATGAAATAATAAATTACCTTTTGGTATATATACTTTTTATACTTAAGATGGTCATTAAAGCAGTGAACAGGTTATTAAATTATTTGAATCCCACCACTGGTCACGAGTCAAACCCCAGCTAAGGTGTTTGGAGGGCCCCAGAGAAATCCTATAAATGCTTCTGATCTACAATTCTGTGTGTCCCAATCCTTGTCTGTGTATGTAGTTGTAACTGCAATAGGTGAACTTATCTGCAATCGATTGTGACTTTTGACAGTTTCCCTTGTTCTGTAATGATCCATTTGGCTATGAATTCTCTGGACACCATTATTGCTGCATGTTGACGGTCTGGTTCATCATTCAGTTGATTTATCTCTGTCATGTTTAAGACTTAATAGAGGAGTCTCTATGAAACATATTTGTATTTGGGGTCCCATCCCCCAACACAGTCCTCATTTGGTCAGGTTCAGTGGCATTCATTTCTTGAACAGGGGGCGGGAGGGAATTGGGAAAAATGAGGCCCGTGGAACAGAAATCTGGTCATTAGTCCAAAAAGATAGTTCCTTCTAGATAATGTTTAAAAATAGAATGGATGTTGGGGGAGAAAGCACAGGCAGAGGAAACAATGTAGGAGAAATGCTTTATCTGGAAAATGTTGGCTTTCCCTGACCAATCTTGAAACAAGTTTGAGGAGAAGCGAAAAATAACACCAAATGAGTTACTTGCAGTTCATAAGAACTTTTCCACTTTGTAGCCAGATAGCGGGCGCTGTAGGAACATTGTCAGTGTTGAGAATTCTCTACCTTACCGCGCTCCTGACGGCGGGGCAGAGAGAAGGGCTGAGAAGTGGGCTGCGACTCCAGGCTGCTCCCTGCGCTGCTGCTTCCTGTGCAAGGTGAGTCTTGGCCTGGCTTCCCTGGAAGTCCCCCCCCACCTGAGACCCTTTGGCCTAAATGCCCTCTGCACTCCTTCCTTTTGCCCTCATTTTCCTTATCCCACCTTTCTTGAAAAGAAGTTAACAGCATAAGGTAGTATGCAAACCAATTTCATTATTCCTCAGTCAGCATACTTCTGAGTCCCTTGTAGAAAGATGCGTGTTTCAGTAATTCCCTTTTATTTACCTCTCAGAAAGCCCTGGTGGCATAGTGGGTTACAAGTTGGGTTGATAACCGCAAGGTCAGCAGTTTGAAACCACCATGGGAGAAAGCTGAAGCTTTTTACTCCTGTAAAGATTTACAACCTCAGAAAGCCCAGTTGCTAATCTTATCTTGTCCTGTAGGGTCGCTCTGGGGTGACATTGATATGAAGGCAGTGAGTTTGGTATTGGGATTGACCTTGGCAAAAGTGATTGTTGATGCCCACTCGTGGGAACTCCACCTGTGCAGATTTGAACTGCTCTGCAGGATTTCAAAGGCGGGGACCCTTGGGGGAGCAGTGGTGTGGTCGTACGTTACACCTTGGGCTGCTCACTGCTAAGTCTGGTGAAAACCACCAGCTGCTCCATGGGAGCAGGAGGAGGCTTTCTGTTCCCGGAAAGAGTTACCGTCTCAGAAACTCACAGGGAAGGTCTCACCTGTCCTGCAGGGTCGCTATGAGTCAGAAGGGACTTCATGGCAGTGAGTTGAGTTATTATAACGTCTTGGAAGCAGGTGGCCAGGCCTTTCTTCCCCGGCACCTCTGGGTGTGTGTGAGGAGCAGTGTGATCTTTTTTGCCACCGAGACAAATGCCAGTCATCAATCAATGTTGAGGACTATTAACAAAGAGGACACAGAAGGTTTTTTAAACTTAAAAGAAAAATATTTTTCTTCTTTTTTATAAACGTATTACCACCAGGGGAAAAACATTCTTAAAACCACCCCAAAAGTCATTATTTTTTTAATCATCAAAAGAACAAATGGAAAAACTGAAAATCCCAAATAAAACAAAACATTGAGCATTAAATATATCTGAGCTTCTAAAATTGAATTTGCATTTTTAAATGAATCCAAATGCCCCTTTAAAAAGAGCAACCCACTTTTCCTTTAATTTATTTTCCTATGATGACAACCACTAATAAGTATTTTTTGTTCTTTTCCCACTGCATATTAATATTTAGGAAAAACACTTATTTGAAGAGCAATTAACTTGTGTCATAATCAGGCTGTGGAGAAGGAAGCTTGAATTATTGGCGGCACAGGCAGCAAATAAGAGTAATAAAAATAATCCCTGATTTGAATTGTTTTTCCATGGGAGGAAGAGATGCGGAAAGATATGGAGACAAGAGATATTTTTTTAAAATATCAAATTAGATTAAAGATTTTTGGTTGAGTCTGAAAATGAGATTTATACAATGTGGGAATAATTTTAATTCACTTGATATTTTCTTATACAAATAAAAGCCAGATATTTTCATGGCAACATAGTCCAAATCATTGAAATTTATGTGCTAGAAAGGGGTTCTTTCTTCATGGTAGCTGGGACTATAGTCTCCTCCTTTCACTTCTCACACATTCATACATAGATCTCAGGACCCACCGTGTGAAGACTTGCCATATATATTCGAGTATAAGCTGACCCGAATATCAGCCGAGGCACCTAATTTTACCACAAAAACAGCATTAAAAATGTGCCGGAAAAACTCGCCTTATACACGAATATATACGGTACATTCTCTATTTTGTTGGCATGCTCCAGCGATCCTGGAATTATTAACCATATGTGTCACCCAAATATTACCCTGATGGTGGCGTAGTGGATGGCGTTTTAGGATTCTAACCGCAAGGACAGCGGTTTGAAACCACCAGGGGAGAAAGATGAGGCTTCCTACTCCGTAAAGAGCTACAGCCTCGGAAACCCCCAGGGGCAGTTCTACTCTGTCCGACAGTGGTGCCCTGAGTCACAGTTGATTGGATGGCAGTGAGTTTTTAGATGCCACTTCCAGGCTTTCTTGTTTTCTGAGACTATAAATCCAGTAACTAACCATCCTGCTCAAATAGCTCACTCCCTCTTAGCCGTTTCTGTCTGTGACCCCAAAGATCCCCCTAAAGGCTCCATCTTGGAAGATGTTATCGGCTGTCCTTAAACTTTGTTTTGGGGGAATTTTTTTGAACTTTGGTTGTCACTTGGGTGACAGTTTATAGAGCATGTGCGTTTCCCATTCAACAATCCACACACATTTGTTCAGTGACTACCATGGTTACACCCCGTCAGGGTGGCAGCACCTTTCCACTTCCGCCCTGGCTTCTCCATTTCCATCCCTGCTTCTTCCCCCACCCCCCACCTGCCCCCTGAGCGTTGTTTGGGGGCAAATTTGACCTTTTTAGTCTTGTACCCTGGATAATACTGGAGAGTATGTTCCTGATCATGGGTAGTATTCATGTTACTGTGCGGCTGAGAGTTGATCCCCGGGGATGGGTTTAACTCCAGGCTTGAAGGACCGGTCTTGGGGGTTCTACCAGTCTCTACCAAAGCTGTAGATCCAGTCTTTTAAAATGACATTGAACTTTGTCCTCTATTTTTTTTTTGTCTACCTCTCTGTTTAGACTCTTCTACTGTGATCCTGATTGGAAAAGTTAATAATGGTCGCTGGTCCCTCTGGGTTTTTTCTTTGTTTTGATCTCAGGCTAGTGGAGGCTGTGGTTTGTGTGGCCCCTTAGCCCTTTGGACTAATTGCTTCTTGGAGTCTTTGATTTTTTCCCCTCTTCATTCTTTTTTGCTTCAGACTCAGGACAATAATGGCATCTCAGATGGCCACTCCAAAGATTTTAAGACTCGGGTCACGACTCACCACAGTAGGAAATAGAAGATGGTCTTTGTGGACTATGCAATCCTGCTGCTCTTTAAACATCACAACTATCCTCCTTCATTCTATAATTATTTCTCAAATAATTTGCTACTGAGGATCATCATAGCTCTAGCCATCATGTAGACACCTCAGTGTCTACATGCCTCTGTAAACGTCTTTCTCTTTTCCTTTTCTGGTGTGTGTGTGTGTGTGTGTGTGTGTGTGTGTGCTAGTCTCTCGTGGTTTTCATTCATCCCATGCCAGTCTACTGACTCATGAATCTAAAGTTAACCTTTAATGTTATTTTGACACACAATTAGTACCTAGAATTATTTTGGCCATCTATTGGGGGCTCAATAAATAGATGAAAGCAATAAATTAGAGAAATGAAAAATTGCAAGTGTTCTAATTTCAAGTTCATAATACAAAAATAAATGTTAACGGCCGTTTTCTTGCTGTTTTCCAACCAATGTTGTTAGTTGTCATCGAATTAGTCTTGCCTCTTAGTGACCCCACACACAGTAGGATTGGACCTTTATGATCTGATTGATTTTTCAGAAGTACACCCCCCAGGCATGTTTTGCTCTTCTGTTTTTGTCTGAGGGCTCTGATGGAACAGGCCTCCACTGACAGATGAGCTGTGCTGAAGGTGCTCCGGTGGGAATCAAGGTGGAATTTCCAGAATGGAAGGCATGATTTCTGCCACTGCCCTTATTCTGCCGAAGGGTAATTCCTGACCGCTTCAGCAACTCAACAAAGAGGACACCAACAGTCTCTGGTTTATGTTTGCCAACATTTAAGTGCCCTGTACACAAGCATAAGGTGCACAAGAAGATCTTAAAGGAAAACATTGCACAATGAAAAATGAAAGGGTGTCATGATTCAGCTACTGACTTGTACAATATGTGAATTGTATGCCAATGAAGCTGCTCAAATGCAACAGCAAAACAGGAGCTAGTGCCATCAGAAGGGTTCTGACAACAATGGGCTTAATCAGGGCCTCCTACTCCGTGTCACACACTTGCAGCTTGCTTAGGAGAACACACAAGCGGTCGTCGCATGTTGAAGGTCCCTGCCTTGAGGTCTGTGTCCCTCTCATCAATCTATTCAGCCAGAGATTTGGAAGGAAATCTTCTTGGGAATGGCAACATGCATTGGGTTGAGAGAAGTGACTCCACTTGCCCAGATACACCTTTTTGCCCTGGCACCAGCCTCCCTTTAGTTCCAGGTGTCCCGGGTGACACGGAATTAAAATTAAAGAAGAAAAGATGGAGAGGCAGACACTGGCCGTCAGTGTCTCTGGTCCCTCTGATGCACAGAAGGTTGACAGAGCTCTCCCATTTCACTGACAGGCCCGTGTGTGAGTCCCAGTGATAACACACTGAAAGGACAGTTAACGTCGGGAGGGAGGGGGAGAGTCAGGTAAAGGGCAGCTGCAGACACACTGAAGCCAGGCTCCCAGGGTCAGTCTCCACTAGGTACGTTTTTGGATGAGATTTTTGTTGCTGTTGTTCTTTCTGAATTCTGGATGCCAGAAGGTGTGTTAAAGAAACACTGAGGTTTCTTTAAACACATGGCACTAATGTAGACAGTAAGATATTGGAAGGCTTGATGATGAAATATTTGGGGTTACTTTTATAGAAAGAGGCCAGAGTGAGGAGTTAAATTTTTTTACAAAACAAACGTATCACCTTTAAAGTACTCTCCATTACACTGAATACATTTGTCAAATCTGCAATTCAATGCTTGGAAACTCTTTTCAAATTCATCTGTTTGGATGGCTGACAGCACCTCCCTCTTTTTTTCTTCACCTCTTATTAAGTCTTCAAATCGCTGTCCTTTCATGTCCCTCTTCATTCAGGAAAACAAAAAGAAGTCACACAGAGCCAGGTCAGGTTAGTTAAGTGCATGGGGCAAGAGAGGCATGCTATTTTTTGCCCAAGACCGGCTCACTGAGATGGCTGCATGAGCAGGTGCATTGCCGTGGTGACAAAACCAGTCACCCGAGGGCCGCAAATCAGGCCTTTTTGTCGCACATTGTCATGCAATCTTTTCAGAACCTCTAAATAGAAAGCTTGATGAACAGTCTGACCTGGCGGAATGAACTCCAAATGCACTGTCCCCCTCACAG